GGAAGCCTGCGGCAAGCGCGTCGTCCGCGGGAAGCTGCGCCACGCAGAACGGGATGCCCTGCACGGACCTCGGCTGGATTCGGGGGCGTCCGTCGTCCGTCGTCCGTCCCCATCCCCGTCTCCATCCCTGTCTCCGGTCCGCGTGGGGGAAGCGACGAGGACGACGAAGAAGATGAGGAATCGCGGATCGCGAACCGCGAACAGCTTTGCGTCTCCATAAACAGCTCCTGTAATTATCTGGGGGGGAGGCACATGCGCCCAAGAGGGGGGAAGGTAGCAGATCATGGCCTGAGGCGTGTGCGCGGAGAGGGGGAGGGTCAGAGGATGTGTTGAAGAAGAAACAAATCAATAATACGAAGAAAAAGCATTATCCCGGCAAAGCAACCTAACAGCGATGTGTAGGAGCATATTTGGAAGCATTCCCCTTAAGATTCGGATGAGAATCCAGTTGTAGAATTCTGCTGTTCTCGCAGTCGTAGTCGCATTCGCGATGACAGTCGCAGTGGCAACGGCAGTCGCAGTCACAGCCTCAGCCTCAGCCTGCCTCAGCCTCAGCCTCAGCCTGCCTCAGCCTCAGCCTGCAGCCTGCCTGCCTCAGCCTCAGCCTCAGCCTGCCAGCCTTCAGTCTGCTTCGGCCTCAGCCTCAGCCTGCCTCAGCCTCAGCCTGCATCAGCCTCAGCCTCAGCCTCAGCCTGCCTCAGCATCAGCCTGCCTCAGCCTCAGCCTCAGCCTGCCTCAGCCTCAGCCTCAGCCTGCTTCAGCCTCAGCCTCAGTCTGCCTTCAGCCTCGGCCTCAGCCTCAGCCTGCCTCAGCCTCAGCCTGCATCAGCCTCAGCCTCAGCCTCAGCCTGCCTCAGCATCAGCCTGCCTCAGCCTCAGCCTCAGCCTGCCTCAGCCTCAGCCTCAGCCTCAGCCTGCTTCAGCCTCAGCCTCAGTCTGCCTTCAGCCTTGGCCTCAGCCTCAGCCTGCCTCAGCGTCAGCCTGCATCAGCCTCAGCCTCAGCCTCAGCCTGCCTCAGCATCAGCCTGCCTCAGCCTCAGCCTGCCTCAGCCTCAGCCTGCTTCAGCCTCAGCCTCAGCCTGTCTCAGCATTCAAAATGTGGCCCGGGAATGGAATTCTGGGAACTCGAAGAACACGAAGTGGCCTACAGTTGGCTCCGGGCATTCAAAATCATGCCCAGGAATGGAGTTCTGGGAACTCGAAGACCACGAAGTGGCCTACAGTTGGCTCCGGGCATTCAAAATCATGCCCAGGAATGGAGTTCTGGGAACTCGAAGACCACGAAGTGGCCTACAGTTGGCTCCGGGCATCCAAAATCTGGCCCGGGAATGGAGTTCTGGGAACTCGAAGAGCACGAAGTGGCCTACAGTTGGCTCCGGGCATTCAAAATGTGGCCCGGGAATGGAGTTCTGGGAACTCGAAGAGCACGAAGTGGCCTACAGTTGGCTCCGGGCATCCAAAATGTGGCCCGGAAATGGAGTTCTGGGAAGTCGAAGAGCACGAAGTGGCCTACAGTTGGCTCCGGGCATCCAAAATGTGGCCCGGGAATGGAGTTCTGGGAAGTCGAAGAGCACGAAGTGGCCTACAGTTGGCTCCGGTTATTCAAAATGTGGCCCGGGAGTGGAGTTCTGGGAGGTCGAAGAGCACGAAGTGTGTGACTGTTGGCTTAAAGCGAGCCCGGCTCTGTTCTGGGCCCTCCTCCCCGGCACCCGCCCAGACCCCCCTGTGGAGTCCAGATGCTCTCTTTTGACACCACTAGAAACCTATCAGCAAAAGCTGTTAGGTAAATACATACATAAAGACAGACGGGGCCACGACATCTGGGGAGAGATCATGGCCGCGGCCATGAGATCCAACCCCCTTCTCCTCCTCCTCCTCCTCCTCCTCCTCCTCCTCCTCCTCCTCCTCCTCCTCCCCCTTCTTCCTCCCCCTTCCTCCTCCTCCTCCTCCTCCTCCTCCCCCTCCTCCTCCAGTGAGGGGGACAGAGAAGTGGAACCCTTTCGTCTTCGACCCCGCGCTCGTCCCCCCCCTTCCCCCAACTCCGAGGTTGGCTTCGGCCTCCCAGGAGGCACCGGCGACGCGTCGCCGACAAGTCGGCGATCGCCAGGCCCCCGACAGCATGTCCGCACGGCCCTGGGGGGGGAGGGCTACCGGGCCCCTTCCGGCGACGAGTGGGCGAGCGGGTGGCGATGCTTCCCCCCGGAGCTTCTCATTCCCCCAGCGTTGCTACTGACCTGATCGGCCCAGACATCCAGGCTAAGACGAGGCCAGGGCGAGGGCAACCTCGGGTCAGAAGGAATCGAGACTCTCCGAGGCCCGGCCTCTCTGTAGGATGTCTCGGGCGCCGCGGCCTTCGCAGAGTGTCCCGCAACGCTCTGAGGGCGTTCGGGAACGCCTGAAACAGATTTCTCCTCGTCCCAGCCACCCATCCGTCTGCAGGTATGGCTTTTTCAATCTGCTACCCCAGAGGTCCCTTCCCCTTGCCCTGGATGGGGTTTTCGTCCCGGATCCATTTTGGATGGTCCCATAACTAGGGAGCCCACAAAGGACGTACGCGCCCAGCTATGTACATGAGAACACGGCCCCTCGATCCGCGAGACCGGCCGCGTGGTACGAGCTTTCGGGCAATGCGTACTCTCGAAACCAGCGTGGATTCATGTACGTGCACGTCCTCCTTTCGCTCCTGACCATAACGGGCCCCGCGGAGGCCGAACTCCAGGAACAAAGGCGTGCTTGAACAAATCAGAGCCTCGGCTCTTCGTCCTCGGATCCCCTTGCCCTGGAGTGGGTCTTCGTCCCGGATCCATTTTGGATGGTCCCATAACGGGCCCCTGCGGAGGCCGAACTCCAGGAACAAAGGCGTGCTTGAACAAATCAGAGCCTCGGCTCTCTGGCCCCCGTCCGAGACAGAGGCTCCCGCACGCTTGACTTTTTCAGTCCCAGCGGCTCCACCCGATCAACCCCCTCCTCCTCCTCCTCCTCCTCCTCCTCTTCCTCCTCCTCCTCCTCCTCCTCCTCCCCCTCCTCCTCCACCTCCTCCTCCTCCTCCTCCTCCTCCTCCTCCTCCTCTTCCTCCTCTTCCTCCTCCTCCTCCTCCTGACGTCGGCCCTCTGCAGGGGACCCGTGCTGGGCCCCCGTGGCCATCGGGCGTGTATACTTAGGTCGGGCGTGTCCCCCTACTCCGAATCCCTTATGGATCGTCCCCCGGGTCCGGTTTTTTTCGTAGGGGCGCCTTTTTTGTATATGTGGGGGCCCGGTTTAACAGGGCACTTTTTTGGATTGGAGCTGAGGGGGTCCAATGTATCAAGGCGCCCCGTCGAAGAGGGGGGGCCAGAATATTAGGTCGCATTTGGACGGGGGTCCGGTTTTAGGAGGGGTCGATTAATAAGGGATTTAGAGTACAGGGAGACTTTGAACGAAACAAACAATTAAACAAAACATGATCAAACATGCTCAAAAATACTTCCAAAACCGTCCCCAAACTATTCTTTGACTATTGTTGCATATCCCCCTGTGGAGGGACATGCCCGACTTCAGTGCATATCCGGGGCGGAGCGCTGCCCCCCAGGGCTCGGCTCCTGCGCCTCCCCTGCCCCCCCCCCCCACGGGAGCATCGGGGCGAGGGCCCGAAGAGTGGGGCGGGGCTCGAGCTGAGCGGTGCCTCTCGTGCTCGTGCTGGCTTCGAGGTCTGTCGGCCTGCCTCCTGTCTGCCTCCTGTCTGCCAAAAAAACGGCATCCGAACGAACGCGGTCCGCGAGATGTGGTTATAATGCTCCAACCTACTTTGGCCTTGACCCCCCGAAAGAATTTCGGACTCCAAGAGGAGTACCGAAACTTGAGGGTTTTCGCGTGTCGGGCCCTGGGAGACACTCGTTCGGCACTGTGTCGACACTTTTCCAGGTGCTCGAAATTACTTCTGGGATGTAGCCCCGTACTCCAGATTTCGTAATAAAAGGGAGGGGGTCTGGACCCTCCAAGACAAGCCATTTCAGACCCCTCCCGTGGGAGAACCCTCCAAAACGTCGTCCCCAGACCCCCCCAGGCCCTCCAAGATAGCCTGGAAGAGACCCCCCCCGAAATGAGACCCCCCTCCCTTTATTACGAAATCTGGAGTACGATGGGAGCAACATGACCCAGTGGGAGCAGGGCTCGCTGCCCACTGCGCTGCGGGCGCGGTCCACCTGAGGCAGGCGTCGCCTGCCCCCGCCGCGGCCGCGGTGGGCTTCGGAAGGCACTCGCTGCCAGGCATGGCTCCGGAACGCTCCGTCCCAGCGCAGGCGGGCCAATCCCCGTCCTCGCCATTTTCTCCCTCGTTCTCATCTCCCCTCCTTCCTGTACCCTCCTCCTCTTCCTCCTCCTCCTGAGGAGGAGGAAGAGGATAACCTCCTCCGCTTTGATGAAGTGACTTTGTGTGTGTGTGTGTGTGCGTGCGTGCGTGCGTGCGTGTGTGTGTGTGTGTGTGTGTGAGTGGGGGGGGCACGGGTCTTCGTAGGTCCAGCCCTCCCCCCCCGATTGGAAACCTCCAAGAGCCCCCGAAGACTTCCAAAGAGCATCCAAAGACCTCCCCGTAATCGTCGGGGGCACCCACCCGACCAAAAACGCCGAGAGCAACCCCTGACCAGCAAAACCCACAAAGATCCTCCAAGCACCATGAGGCAACGACCTCCGCCTGTCCGCGTTCTCCCGGCACTCCCTCAGGGCCCCGTAAGCGGGGACATCGATGAACCAGGACGTACCGGGACGTTGGCGCGCGCGAAGCAACTGCAAAACTTGTGCCCTCCAGCTGGGATTTTCAAAATGCTGGCCAGCAGTGTCCTGCCTTAGGGGGCCTAGCCCCCCTCCCTGGATTCAATCCCAGGCAGCTGCTCGAGCTCCGTCCAGCCCGTACGGACGGGCGCACGCTCGCACACGCGCGAGGGCGAGGCCCCCCTGCAAGGCCGGAGCGGTGGCGCCTCGGCACTTCGGGAGACAAAACCGCTGCTTAATATCTCTGGCGCCATCTTTTGGCGGCGCGCACACGGGGGCAGGGAGAGGGGGGAAGGCTTCTTGGAAGGAGGCCGGTTCTTAGAAGGCGCCGGCCTTCGATCCGCGGACAAGGCCCGCGCCTTCTGAGAAGCAGGGGTGCTTTTGCGAAGCCTTGCCCTTTCCCCCTAACCCCGCGGCGCGTGGCCGAATCTCGATAGGCGATCGCCTCATTGACATACAGTCGGGGCCTTGACCTAAGGAACCCAACATAAGGAACGAGGCCCCTTTTTTCCATGAGTTAACCTGCGATTTCCTGTCGAAAACGTAAGGAAAGCCTGAGGCAAGCTGTGAAACACTGAAGGAACACGGAGCCCCTCCCCCACGAGAAGGGTTCCTTCTTCAGGACCCCTACTGTAACCTCTTCGATCTTGAAGACACAGCCGCAATCTCGATGTTCCTCTTGGCCCTCCCTGCCGGGGCGCGCACACGAAGCCGGCGGGCATCTGGATCCATGCGGCGCCCCACTGCGTCGGCTGCTGCGTCAGCTGCTGCGCGCTGGCGCCCCACTGCTCCTCCACCACGGCCTTGGTTAGGGGGCAAACCAACCTCCCTCGCTTTTGACCACCCTCGCTTCCAAGAGATACCAAGCCATGCCAAGCTACGGCCTGTACTGGTCAGGCCGCTTGACGAGGAGGCGCGTGGTATGACTTGGTTTTGCCTGGAAGCGGAAGCGGGGTAGGTGATTCACGCTCTGAGAGAGGGAGGACGAGACCTGCGAGGCAGGGAAGAGCTGCCCTTCCAGATCGGGGCGCGCCCGGGGATCGCCTCTTAAAATACTCGCGGGCGAGTTCTACGCCCCCCCCATTGCCTCGGCGCGCCAATCCGCCACGCTCTGATTGGTGGCGGACGGGGGGGGGGGAGGGCGGGCTGGCCGAGGTTCGGGGCTCGAGCGTCGCACCCGTTCGACGCCGGCTCCCCTGCCGTCGGCCCTGGGCGGCTCGCGGCGGCAGTCGTCGGCCTCTGACCGTTCTGCAGCTAGGAGGCCGAGCTCTGACCACGCCCACTTCCCGAGGTGCCTTGCGAAAAGCGGTTTCCAGAGGCGGAGATGGGCAGTTTCCCCGCCCCAGGGGAAGGAACAACTACCCACTTCCACCCACGAGGGCCTATCATAGAATCGAGGATCCAGAGGTGGATGTGGTCAGAAATCGGTCTTCGAGCAGCACGGAGGCTGGCTTGTTGCGTCGTCTTCTCACCGGGCGGCCATGAACCTCCACGTTTGGGACCTTATTCACCCGTCCTGACCCTCTCAGGGTGTTCTCGTCGCCATGGCTGGGTTCCGCTCGAGCTTCTGATCAGAGCGCACCCCAAGACAAACTTGCGGTCGATCGAGGGGTCCAACGCCTCCTTACCCAACGGAAATGGCGAGGAGTGGGCGAGGGGGAGAAAGCCCGATGGCTGCAGTGCCGACATCAGCGATGGCGGGCGGAACGAGCAGGATCGAGCAGCGCCTCTGAGTGCGAACGCACACGGGAGGCGCTTTCGGAAAACAGCGGTGGGGACGAGCCACCATGCGAGGGAAGTCAGGTCGAGGGCGACAGAACGACTGCGATAGGAGAGCATTGGGAGGACCCATACCTCTGGCGAGTCCAGCAACATCGCGCCCGAGGTTCTTGTGATCGCTTTCGGCGTCCGCGGAAGTGCCCCTGGCCCCTAAGGCCGCCCAAGGACAGCACGGGACGAAAAGTGGGCCCTGGGCAAGGGATCGAGAGCTCCAGTGGTTGGCGGCTCGAACGAATCGGGTCGTCGGAAGTCGCGGGGGGGGGGAGGATGGGAGAAAGGAAGCCCGGGTGGATACGCCTATGGCCCAGCCTCGCTTGACGAGCGCAGTCGGCACCCACCCACGGGGCGGGGCCACTTCTTCTAAAGCACGCTAGATCAGGAGCGGAGCCCCTTTTTTTCTTTTTGGCCCAACACAGGCTGGGTGCACGAAGAGGGCTAGATAAACAACCACGGGTTGACCTACGGAACAGTGAGTCCCCTTCAGAACCCAAAGCGGTCCGTATTCCCGCGTCCTGACTGTATTTTCTCCTGTCAGTTCGATCCACCTCCCCCAGTGGCGAGAGCCGCTCTAAGGGCGGGGGATCCCTCTTGGAGGAGGAGGAGGAGAAGGAGGAGGAGGAGCAGGAGAAGAAGCAGGAACATGATCAGGATCAGGAGGAGGAGGAGGCAAAGGAGGAGGAGGAGGAGGAGGAGGAGGAGGAGGAGGAGGAGGAGAGGAGAAGGGAGGAGGGAGGAGGGGGATGGCGAGGGGGATGGAGGAGGAGGAGGAGGAGGAGGAAGAGGAGGAGGAGGAGGAGGGCGGATGGCAACATCCTCTTGGATCCCCAAGCCAACCGCAACAACACCGTCATGGCATCCGCGCGCGCGCACCGTGACATGCGCGGCCCACGGGGCCCTCAAGACGGCCCCAGAACAGCTGCTAAAGGACAAACAACAAACAAAAACGCCCCCCCCCCACTGGGGCTTTCGGTGGAGCTCCATATGGGGCCACGCAACGTGTGAGGGGTTTCCCAAAGTGAGGGGGTGATGGGGGGAGGGAGACGAGGAAAAGGAGGACGAGGAGGAGGAGGAGGAGGAGGAGGAGGAGAAGGAGGAGGAGGAGCAGGAGGAGGAGGAGGAGGAGGAGGAGGAGGAGGAGGAGGAGGAGGAGGAGGAGGAGGAGGAGGAGGAGGAGGAGAGAGGAGGAACGCGGGGCGCTGTCTCTTCAAAACGAGGACCCAACACCACAACCGCAAGGCCAGGAGAGCCCAGAATCAAATCGATAAGTCGAATCGGCGATCGAAGTGAATCGGATCGGCATAAATGGGCAGCCAAGTCGGAAGGAGTCGAATCGGCGGAGATCGGCAGAGCAGTGAGGCCTCATTGAGGAATCGAAATCCGAAGTCGAATCGAATCGGAATCGGAATCCATCGAAATCGAATCGAATCGGAGGAATCGAAACGAGCCCTGCAAGGCGGACCGACGGTTGGTGGCGCGGCGTAAGCCACGAAATCAATGCCTCGGAGATATTGCTGGGGTTCCCAAGGATGGTGCGGCGACAGCCCGTGTGGCGACCGCGAAAATCCCGAAAGACCTCACCGCGCGGCCTGTCAACCCGCACGGTCTGTTGGGACCCTGGAGGCCCCAGCCGCCCGAGGCGTCCCGGATCCCCACTGACTCACCACACTGACGACCTACCAGACCACCCCAACCCAACCCGAAGGCCCGAATTTCGGGTTGGGGGGGGGGGGACGGGTTTCATATGTGCTTTCTCCATGTTCCCCGACTCCCCCTGGAAATGGAGGGCAAACTGAAGCTGTCGGGTTGGGTTGGGGTGGTTTGGTCGGTGGTGACGCACGGGCCCACCTCCGCATGCTTGGCTTCTGGGTCACAAGTGGGAGGGGTGCATCTATACGCCGACCTGCTCGGAGCGCCCTTTTCGTTGAGCGCGTGGGCCAAAACGGCGTCAGCGCAGCTTTGAGCGGGGACCGACCGCTGCTTGACTCGGGTCGGGCGAAAGGGGGGGATAGCAAAGGGGGGGTTTGAGAATCAGCTCACGTAGCTGATTTTCCCGGCGCCTCCCGGCGCCGGAGGCGGCTATGTATCGAGGAATGGGCCCCTCGGTGAGGCCGAAACCAGCTGCATGCAGCAAACTTCGTAACCCCCCCTTTCCCAATCCCCCCCTTTCGCCCGACCCGATTGACCTTCGCCACTGCTCGACAGCTGCCGACGCGGGGCGCGCCTGCCACGCGGCCCGTCTGGGGCGCGTCTGGGCCGGCGCGGGCACTCGCCATCGCTCGGACGTCCATTCTCTGTGCTTCTTTCGGTTTCGTGCGCGGTTTCTTCGCCAAATGACCAAGGTTGCTCCTCGATGGCCCTCGCCGAAGGAAAAATGCACACGTCCAAATCGGGCTCGGAATCCCGAAAAACGAACCCGAGTGAGCCCTGACCCGAGTTACCCCTGATGATTCGGGGCTCTGACTTGACGTTCGCCACTGCTTGACAGCTGCCGACGCGGGGCGCGCGTGGGCCGGCGCGGGCAGGGCCGCAGCGGCCTCCGAGAGCCCGCGACGGGCCTCTGGGCGGCCGCCCGGGAAGCGCCGGGGGCGCCCCCCCCGAGCTGGCGCCCTCGATCGGCGAGGCGCAGCTGCCGGAGCGCATGCCGAGGCAGGGAGGGGGAGGAGGAGGAGGAGGAGGAGGAGGAGGAGGAGGAGGAGGAGGAGGAGGAGGAGGAGGAGGAGGAGGAGGAGGAGAGGAGGAGGAGGAGGAGGAGGAGGAGGAGGAGGAGGAGAGAGGAGGAGGAGGAGGAGGAGGGGAGGAGGAGGAGGAGGAGGAGGAGGGTGAGGAGGAGGAGGAGGAGGAGGAGGAGGAGGAGGAGGAGGAGGAGGAGGAGGAGGAGGAGGAGGAGCGACGGGGAGGTCCGAAGAGCTGGAGCCCCCGCTGACTCGCCCCTCGGTGTGGCCAGCGCGCCGCCTGGGGGCCCCTGGTCCCGGTCGTCGCCGCCCGTCGTCGTTCGGCGGCGCGCACAGGGGGGCACGGGGAGGGGGGAAGGCTTCTTAGAAGGAAGCTGCTTCTTAGAAGGTGCCGGCCCTGCATCTACAGATGAGGCCCGCGCCATCTAGGCAGCAGGGATGCTTCTAAAAAGCCTTCCCCCCTCCTCATGCAGCCGAAGCAAGGACGCCATAATGTCGATCAAGGACATGGGCACCTCCCCGCCGAGAGTTCAAGGCCCCATTGCGATGCCCCAGTCCAGGGCTGGACCTACTAAACGTTGTTTTTCGTTTTGTTTTTATAGGAAGGCACCAACTATACACAACACCGATCCTGGCCAGGATCGGTGTTGGTGTATAGTTGGTGCCCTCCGATTTTAGTTTTGCTCTACTTGTTTTCCTGTACCTCCCCAAACGAATCATGAAACACAGCCGAGTCCAGCAAAGCAGCGCTTAGGTCCAGCCCTGCCCCGGTCAAAGAGCATTCCATTCCAAAGCGGAAAGCGCCTGGCGGCGAAGCACTGGAGGGCATAACCCTCCAAAGCCTGGCCTCCGCCTCCGCCTCCGCCTCCTCCTCCTCCTCCTCTTCCTCCTCCTCCGCCTCCGCCTCCGCCTCCTCCTCCTCCTCCTCCTCTCCTCCTCCGCCTCCTCCTCCTCCTCCTCCTCCGCCTCCGCCTCCGCCTCCTCCTCCTCCTCCTCTTCCTCCTCCTCCTCCTCCTCCTCCTCCTCCTCCGTGCCAGCTGCACGACCCCTCGTGTGCGTGCCCGAGGCTTGGTGTGGCCACCGCACCGCCTGGGGGCCCCCGGTCCTGGTCGTCGCGGCCCTCCCGAGCTCGGGTTGCTCTTAGCTCTCGTGCCAGCTGCACCCCCCCTCGTGCGCGTGGCCGAGGCTCGGTGTGGCCACCGCAAGCTGCTCGCGGGTCTCCGAAGGGGGGCGCAGGACTAGGGAGGGGCGGGGAAGGGACGAGGAGGGGGAGGAGGAGGAGGAGGAGGAGGAGGAGGAGGAGGAGGAGGAGGAGGAGGAGGAGGAGGAGGAGGAGGAGGAGGAGGATCTGTGTCTATTGATCTGCATGCCCCTGGGGGCCCCCGATCCTGGTCGTCCCCGCCCACCGTCGTCGTCGTCGGCGGCGCCCGCTGGGGCCGAGGCGCAGCGCTCCCGCAGCAGCTGGTTCTCCAGCTGCAGGCGCGCGTTCTCCGAGGCGAGCAGGTCCGCCGCCGAGGCCTCCCGCTGGCGGCGCGACGGCGGCGGCCGCGGCGGCGTCGACGGCAGCGTCGACGGCGGCGGCGACGGCGGCGTCGACGACGACGGCGGCGGCGAGACGGGTGCGCGACGGCGGCGGCGGCGGCAGCGGCGCCATCGATGGCGGCGGCCACAGCGGTGGCGGCGCGACGGCGGGGGCGACAGCGTCGACAACGGCGGGTAGCGCTCACGGGCGGGGGCCGCCTTCTGCTCGACAGGCTCCGCCGCGGGGCCAGCGGCCGCGTCCGCGCCGGCGCTCGCCTCCGCCTCTGTCGCTGGGCGCGACCCATCGCCGCGTCCGGAGCCTGTAGTGAACGAGCAGGAGGAGGCGGAGGAGAGAGGGGGAGGAGGAGAGAGGGGGAGGGGGGGAGGCGGAGGACGGAGGGGGAGGAGGAGAGAGGGGGAGGGGGGGAGGAGGAGGAGGAGGAGGAGGAGGGGAGGAGGAGGAGGAGGAGAGGAGGAGGAGGAGGAGGAGGAGGAGGAGGAGGAGGAGGAGGAGGAGGAGGAGGAGGAGGAGGAGAGGAGGAGGAGGAGGAGGAGGAGGAGGAGGAGGGGGAGGAGGGCGGGGAGGAGGAGGAGGCGGAGGAGGATTTTTTAACATCCACCGTGGGACCGCGCGGCATAGCTCCTCCATTATCTACCGCCGAAAGGTTAGAGAGGCTCTGCAGAAGCAGGGGCGACCCTGCCTCGGAACACGCCACGAGCTCGACGGGCTGGCCTACCCCTTAGGGGTCGGTCCAAGGCCCGCGCTCGACCGAGACGCCAGCAAACTCAGGGTGCCTACCTCGACGGGCCGCTGTCCAAGCGCTCTTGGCTCCCGAACTTCAAGCCTGAGTGCGCTTTACAGCGCAGGCACATCACGAGCCCAGCGCCAACCGAGCGGCGCAGTGCAGAGCAACGGTGCTCAAACCTGGCAAGACTGTCCGGGGCTGGCTCAGCGGCTCGCGAGCAGGCCCCAGGAGGAAGGGGGGCCCAAGCCAGTGCCAGAGGCAGGGAACTGCTTGCCGCCGCGTGGGACTCAATTAGGTGTAAAATACGATTGCCGCTTATCCTGCGCGGCAAAGATTTTTTCCCCTGCTGAGCCGATGTGTCGTGCGACATGGCTTGCGAACGCGAGTCCGCTCATGCCCAGGGCCAGGAGGAGCCTTGGGAGGACGAGGGGGAGCCTTGGTTCAACCAGCGTCTTTTTTCAGGTCAAGCCATCGGCCACTCTGGCAGAAGCTCGGCAGTGAGACGCAGGACACATTTAGCAACTTCGATGGCACGCTCACGCCAGGCAACCTGACCCGACTCTGGTTGGGGGTGCCGACTCTGGTTGGGGGTGCCTCACAATTATACTCTTGGCCACATGGCCAGCCAAGTCGGTATATATACATATATATATATATATATATATATCTTCTGGAGCCCCTGGGTTTCTGTAAGACCATCCGGCGCTTGGACGCACGCCTTGCCTTTGAAAACGCCGTCCACAAACTTACAATGGGTGGGCAACAATCAACCTGAGTACATTCTCTTGTAAGACAGGGCTCGCAGCAGGGGGCCTGAACCACAAAACTCTTACAGCCAGACTGAATTGAACTGCCAGGGAGTGCCTGCATAGCAGCAACAGCGTAGGCTCCAACTTCCCTCCCCCCCCCTGGGCTGTCTGCAAACAGGGGGGCCGCAAACAACAACTAATCCGGAGAACCTCATCGCCGCTGTCACCAACAACCACCACCGCCCACCCTGCCCTTGAGAACTCTCCAACATGGGGGGCACGCGAACCGTCAACGCATGACAAGGAATATTGCGGAGGCATTCAGGATCGTGGGCCCACCAGATCTCGAACTCATTCCTTTCACCATCATCACGAACGGGCGTGGGGAACACATCTCCAGGATGACGGAAGACAGTTCGGGCAAACATTATGAAATCATCTCCATTACTCTGTAGCGAGAGGTCGGGAGGGGGAAGACATATCAAACTTAACCTTGCAATTATCAACAATTTCCTGTCGTCTATCACGGCACCCAGAGCCGATGAGACAGTGTATCAGGGGTTCTCTTGACGAAACTCACGCAGGTTACTGGCATCATACCCGGCAGATTGGCCACCGGTCCTAGTCCACGTGGCATTGCATGCAAGTGTTTCCGAGCAATCTCTTTGGAAGCTGTTGTGCCACACAGAACGAAGCTCAGCAGCGACGACGCCGTGGCACACGCGAGCACCTGGCGCACCGGGCAGAAGATACATTCCACTACTCCGTTCGTGTATCCTCTGGGCAGCGGCCCTCGGCAGCCTCTTAAGAAGGGCAGGGGAAATGACGGACAGCGAAACCTCGTTCCCAGGACCACCTGGGAGCGTACAACAATCAGGCGTGGTCCACGCAGTCCTCCCGAACGCCATTTTCAGGCACAGAAGGGCCCACGCACCCCCTACACGTTTGGGGCGCAGGACGCTCGAACACCTGGCATCATTCCTGCCGAAGCTCCGCCCACGGGGTAACAACAGGGAGCACATTAATGTGATTGGATCATATCTCCTTGAAGTAGCGCGGAATGGGGATACAAAATGGGATCCTGAGACAGAATCAGCAAAGGGGTCAGCGACCTCATCCTAGCCGATGGCTGCATGGTACTCGCGGCAATGATCTTGACCAGGCCGTAGGCGTCGACCGCAAGCTTACCAGTCTGAACGGGAAGCTCACCCTGATGACATCTTTAGAGTAGGGTTCGGAGGTTGACCAGCTCCTAACACGTATAGGGGTCCCAAAGGAGGGCACAGCTGGCTTGGCCTTTCTTAGCCGCGCCTCAAGCACGAACACTTTGCCTCAACACCACATCCACAGCAGAGGAAGACGGAGAACCAGCAAAAGACTGTCGCTGAAACTGGGTCTCCCAGGCAACCGCCCACTTACGTCTGCATCGCCCACACAGCCAGTAGCAACTGCAGAACAGCCCGGTAGGCCGAACCCCTCAACAGGGACAGCGCGACAACGGCAATTTGGTCTGAAAGCAGCCCCGACGCCTCCATAACCGAAAACATGGCCCCCCAAACCCCAAAGCCTAATCCAACGCGCGGAACTCGTACCATGTGAAACCCGTCAACCGCAGTGGCCATCCTGGCCAGATGTCTCCTGGAGGCAGACCTCAAAATCATCCGGCGCAAGCCTGGGGAGAGGTTGACGACTTGAAACTTGGGGGCACTGGAAAGGGGATCGGCGCTGGCTTCCCGCAAGGCCCGAGCCCGCAATCTCCGGGCCAGCGCAGATGCGGGCTGGCCAACGTGGCCAACGCGCGGCCACTGGCGCGGACACGCGACGCGCACAATCGGGCACGAAGTTCCACAAGAAGCCCCCCCGGGTGAACCGAGACTGCGCCGCGGCCGCGCTCGACACAAGCCTGCGCGCCAGAGCGGACGCCGCAAACTGCGCGCGCGGCCCCGCGGGGGCCCGGCCTGGCCCCCGCCGCCCCGCCCTCAACGGAGCGCCCGCGGGGGGGGGGGGGGCTGGGGCTCTCGGGCGAGGCGCGGGTTCCAAATCCAAACGCGGCGCCATCGCGCGGGCTCCGCGCAGACAGAATCGAACGCCACCGCGTGCGGGGCGCGAACCAGCGGAGCGCAGCGAGCGGAGTGCCACCCCGCGCCCGCGCAGTCCACGCGGCGCAGTGCGCTATCTCGGGGGCGCCATCCACGCGCCAACGACGACTCGAAACAACATGCGCGGTGGGCTCGGTGCCCTATCCATCGCGCGTTGGCGACGGGAGCGACGCGCGGCTCTTCTGAGAGGGGGCGGCGCTGGGCGAGGCACGGGTGGGGGGGGGGGCCCGAGGCACCACCCGCGCTGCGCGGCCCTGCGTGGGGCGCTCCAGAAACGGGCACAGCCCGCCCGCGGGTGGGCCACGCGAACACTGCGTGGGAGAAAAGAGCAGCTCACTTGCATTGTGTGGGCCTCAACACGAAGCGACACATTGCCACGCAACGCGCTCCGCCTGTGTCAGTATGAGCGCTTCTCTTGCGCGTTCCTTCATGAGCATTCGAGTAGGGGTGGCGCTGAGTGCGAGAGAAACCGAACACGAGCGGCAGAGTACGAGCGGCCCTGATTGTGAGCGAATCTGCCTACGAGAGGCTACGTCTTCGCACGTGAAACTGAATTAGTCTGGCCACGGGTCGGTCTGCGCACATTGGAATAAAAAAGTGAGCGGGTCTGGTCGTCAGTGGCTTTGGGGGCGCATGGGTGCGAGTATGAGCGGGTTTGGGTGTACAGCCCGACCTAGGACATTGCTTAGCCCCCCAGTGTGCACCAGAGCATCCAACACACACGAAGAGCATCAGGGCACCCTTCCCGAACCGACCTCGATCTCACAGCTCGGTCCAAGCGAGCAGGCGCGGGCGCGAGGCTGGACGGCGCACGGGCGGGCGGGGGGGCGCGCGGGGCAGGGACAGCGAGTGCAAGACGGCCAGCGAAGGGCAGGGGACACGCGCACGAGGCGCAGGGAACGCGCGCGCGACGTCCAATGCTCTGACGCGTGCGCGCCTGCGCTCGCGGCAGAGCCGACCAGCGTGGTGCAGGGAAGGCGCGTGAGGTGCCCGATTGTTTGGCGCGCGTACGTCTGCGCCAATGCCAGTGCGAGCGCGCAGATTGTCCCTTTCCTCATGCGCGTCTGAAAACGAGCGGGTCTGCGAGCGCACGAGTCTGAACGCGAGCGGCAGAGAGCAAGCGAGCCTGCTAAAAAACACGACTCGGGGCATGAGCGGCCAGGGCTGGGCGCGTCCGCTGAGGAATCGGCCAGGCCGCGGGTGGGTCACGAGGGAGCCTTCATCTGAGCGGGCTCGGTGTTTTGAGCGTCACACGGGCCGTACACTACGAGACAGTACGATGCTGGCGCGCGCCACCGAGAACAGTGTTCGGGAGCAGCCACGCGCTTCGCTTGTGGGCTGGGGGCCGACGTGGGGCAAGGCGGTGGGAATGCAGCCGCGAGGAACCCACGGCGAGGCGCCCAACCCACGAGTCCGCCCGAGGCCCCTTGGCCCAGAGTTGGGCTCATTGCGCCTCGCCTGCAAGCGAGGACACCCAGGGCGCCCTGGCCGAGCGGGTTTGTCGATCTCTTGCGCGAAGCAACTTGCCACCAAGAAATCCAAGGCGATCGACGACGCAAGTTGCAGGCGTTGCGCAAACGAGGAGATGGCAACTTCTCTCGGCCAAACAAAATCGCGCCCACTTGACCTTGGCTGGGGTGGACTGCGATACACGGATGGAGGACAAGTGCGATCCAAAATGTGGCCCTCGCCTGAGTGCCGTGCTCGCTGGGCACACGGATGGGGGGAGGTACTGCGCCGTCCCCTCTGTTGTGTGTGTGTGTGCCGAAATTCCGCACCGCCCTCACCGTCATGCATGCCCAAATGACTGATGGCTGGCGGCGCGCAGAGGGGTCTTGCAGGGCAATGTTTAATACATAGGATGTTTAAGAATATATGATTTTTAGTACTTGACTAATGTATGAATCAATTTATGCATGAACTCATCGTTGTTATTAATGCTAAATCCCTGCATGTTTAATACATGATTCGCACGCGGATCATGTATAAAAAACGGCACTGTAAGTGGTCTCTGAAGGCCCGGCCAGATCGGGCGCGCTGTGGACTCGACTTCTTCCGCCCCGTCGCCGCGCGCTGGGCCGCGACGCCAAAAAAAAGTGTGTGCGCCGAGACTCCTCTGATCCTCCTCCTCCCGCCCCGTCCTGCTCTTCTTACTTGCCCTCCTGCCGCCCCCCTCCCCTCCCTCTCCTGCTCCCAATCCCCCTCCCGGGCCTGGGCGGCGAAGGCGACAGCGGGGGCGGCGACGGCAGCACCAAGAAGCAGCAGAACGAGGGCACTGACCTTCCAGCTCTCTCTCTGTCATCTTCCCCCCCCCTTCCTTCCCTCCAGTGGCAACTAACTTCGCGCAGCCCCCCGGGGGACAGGACGCGGGGCTCGCGGAGCGCGAAGCGCGGAAACCTTCGGCCTTCGCTCCCTCGTGGTGGCCCCAGTTCTCCCTCTCCTCCCCCTGCTCTGGCATGGGGGGAGCATGGGGACAGGGTCCTGGGCCGAGAGGTAAAACAGGGCTAGGATCGGGATAAATCGCTCCAGAGCGTTCCGGAGCGCTCTCAGAGCGTTCCGGAACGCTCTGGAGCGGCCGCGGCGCCCAAGACATCCTCCAAACCCGCCGATTCTCAGAGATTTCGAGTTCTCCCGATCCGATTTCGTCCCGATCTTCGCGTCGTTTTAGGGAGCATGGGGACGGGGTCCTGTCGGGTCGTGCGAAAGGGGGGGATAGCAAAGGGGGGGTTTGAGAATCAGCTCATGTAGCTGATTTTCCCGGCGCCGGAGGCGGCTATGTATCGAGGAATGGGCCCCTCGGTGAGGCCGAAACCAGCTGTATGCAGCAAATTTCGTAACCCCCCCTTTCCCAATCCCCCCCTTTCGCCCGGCCCGGTCCTGGGCCGAGGGGCCTTCCTGGGACAGGCCCCTCGTCCCGAAGCCGTTCCCGTTCCTGCCCACCCCACGCGGCCCGGGAGAGGCCATGCGCGGCCGAAGCCGCGGACCTCCCAGACAACTCTCTCTCTCTCTCTCTCATGAAGGGGCCCTGGGACACACAAAGAAGTAGATACAAATACAAACATGCCCCATATTTTCATATATTTTTGGGGTTTCTGTCTTCCCCCCACTTCCCATACCTTCCCAGATTTTCTGGGGAATCGGCGATGAATTGTGTCTGTGTGCTTTTTTCCCTCCTGATCTCAGGACCGCTGTCTGGAAGACATACGACACCAATTCGGAGGGCCCAAGTTTACCCGGCAGGGACGTCAGACAAACGGCGGGCCCAGCTCGAAATGCCTGAGGCTTGAAGCGAACTCCCGCTGCAGACATCAGACGAACCTGGATCCGACACGCAGGCCAGGACGGTGAAAAAGATGCCGTGAGACCAAATTCTGGCAAACTCGAGTCTTGCGTTTCCTCGACTCTCCCTTACATAGATGCGGCGGAGACGGCGGCTGACATCCGCCGACGTGTTTCCGTTGCCATGCGCGTCCCCAAAGGACCCAGCACCGAATCAATTTTCGACCATCCCGAGGCCGCCATCCAGGAAGAGCGCTCGGATTGAAGAACCTGTCGTCGGAGATCTAGGGCGGCTGCTCGGGGGCGCGCAAACATGGACCAACGCTGCATGGATTTGGCGCGTGGTCGCCAAACCCATTGATCCGGGGAGGTGTCCCCCCCAAAGTGCGGCCGGTGCCGCCTCGCTCGGCGGCGGAAATTCGCGATTTCCCATGGAAACGGGACTCGTCGCTAAGAGAACGTTCTCTTATTCTGCGTTTCAACATTGGGCGGAAAGCGGGGGAGAGGGGGGTCTGGCTCTGGACTTCTCTGCTTAATGCGACTGTTTGCAGCAGTGCGTCCTACGGGGAAGACTCCACCTGCTCGAAGCAGGCGCCCCAAACAGCCAAGATCTGCTCCATGGGGGAGGTGGAGGGGGGGGGTGCGAGGGCCCGCGCTGATCGGCAAAACAATGAACAAGAAAACGATCACCGACCCACGCCCCATTGATCCATGTTTGCGATCGCCTGAGCTGCGGACCGGGGGGCAACGATAGCAACGATAGGGGTGCCTGGCATACGGGGGGATGCATCGACCTGGAATCGGCGACACATCGCCGATAGATCGGCGACAGCCCCCCGACAGTGAATCCGCACCTTCCTGGGCGGGTTGGGGCTATCGGGCCCCTATCGGCGATCAACGGGCGATCGGGGGTCGATGCATCCCCCCCCTAGCGTCTGTCCCCCCTAGCGTTTCGGGCGTTGGTAGAACTGGGTTTAGTGGAAACTGGTTTAGTGATCTGTACCGGGGGCGCCCCCCCCCGTCCCATTTCCACTAACCGGAACTGCCGTCACCCGACAAAACACCAGCTATGGCAAACCTGGTTTAGTGATTCTGGCCAATTGAGGGGCCCCAAGGCCATTCCACTAACCTCGTCCCCTTACCTGGGGTCCTTCCTACACCCGAGCGTGTTGCTGAAGGGGCCCCAGAACACACACAAATCAATACACACAAATACAAGTATTCGCCACATTTTCCCATACCTTCTGGGCTTTTGTCTTCCCCACCCACTTCCCATGTTTCCCTATATTTTCTGGGGGATGGGCGATCAATTGTGTCTGTGTGTTTCTTTCACCCCTAGCGTTGCCCCAGACGGACGAGGAAAGCGGCGGCGGCGCTATGCTGGAGTAATGGGGGGAACACAAAAGGGGGGACGGCAATAGATGCAATAGTTGGTTTGCCTGAACTATTGCGCGCGAGCTATTGCACCAACTATTGCTGGGGACACGGACTATATTGCAAACCGCCTGAACTGTGGCGCGCGAAACGAGACAAAACAACACCCACGCGGCACTACTGCGTCCACGCCGCGAACTATTGCATCCAGGCACCAACTATTGCAGGAACTATTGCGCCTACTCCCGTCCCCCCATTTGCCATCTGTGTTCCCCCCATCACTCCTGGCGGCCACGAGGCCGAGAGGAGCGCCCCGGCCTGCCGGCGCGGCCGCCGGAGGCGCGGCGGCTCTCGCCACGTGCTTGTAGCAGGGCAGGTCCGAGTCCTCGCGGGAGCGCTCCCAGGCGCTCACAGGCGGTCCCCGGCGCTCCCAGGCGCTGCCAAGCACTCCCAGGCGCTCCCAGGCGCTCCAAGGCGCTCCCAGGCGCTTCCAAGGCGCTCCCAGGCGCTTCCAAGCGCTCCCAGGCGCTGCCAGGCGCTCCCAGGCGCTCCCAGGCTATCCCAGGCCCCCAGAGCGTGCGCGCGCCGCAGGGTCGCCGTCGGCGCCGTCGCTGCGGGGGGAGGGGCCTCGCCGATGCCCCGAGGTCGGGCGCGTCCCTCTACGGGAGGAATCTTCAGAATAGTCGAAGAAGATAGTCTGGGGACGATTGTTCGATCGTGTTTGGGCTATGTGTGAACATTTCTACCATTTTGCATTTTTCCGACAGAATCCTCCTGTAGACGGACACGTCCGACCTAAGGATACCCGTAAGAAATGGGTAGAAACATGAAGTAGGAAGGCGTTGGAAGCAGATTGGGCCTCTGTCCGCCCACCAGAGAGATAGGCAAGGCGTCGAAAGTAGTCTGGGAATCTTGGCATCCAGAAGTGCCTACTTCCAAGGACCGACGGGCACTCCTCCCCCAACACCATGTCAGGTCAGACGCAATCGTCCTCCGACTGTCTCTTGACTATTTTTGAGTAGTCCTCCTGTAGAGGGACACGCCCGACTTGAACGTAAGTGGGGGGGGGGGGGCGCGTCAGCTTGCGGCGAAGCCAAGACCAGGCGTGGAGCCTGCAGTCGGACCAAACACTGAAGAGCATCCATCGAGAGCATGAGACCCTTTGCCAGCCAAGCTGAAGAACATTCCAGGGTACCCCTCCCCCAGGATACGCAAGAACATCCAACAGGCACGAACAACATCAGGCTACCATCCCCGAGCCGATCTCGATCTTATGTCTCGGTCCGACTGCAGTTCCAGACGAAGCCTAGAGCGGGACAACACTGGACCTGGACAAATCATGACCTGAGGAGGAGGAGGAGGAGGAGGAGGAGGAGGAGAAGGAGGAGGAGGATGAGGAGGAGGGAGGGGGAAGGGAGAGGAGGAGGAGGGGGAGGAGGAGGAGGAGGAGGAGGAGGGAGGAAGGAGAGGAGGAGGGGGAGGAGGAGGAGGAGGAGGAGGGAGAGGAGGAGGAGGAGGAGGAGGAGGAGGAGGAGGATCCGGCGGCTCTGGAGAGGTTCATCCCGGTCCTGGGCCCGCCCTATGAGTTATGGAGTAGCGGGCGAAGAACGGTACGAAATAAGCTGTTTCGCTGTCGGGGGCGCCTGTCTCAAGGCGGCTGGAAAACTCATACCTTTACGGTGGCACGTCAAGGTATGGACTCTCCAGCCGCCAGGGGGCAGCGCCCCTGGCCAGGGAGAAACAACTATGTGATACCGCTCTTCGCCCGCCAAAGTTAGCGACTCACCTCGCGTAGCTGGTTCTCCCGGCGCCTCCCGGCGCTGGAGGCGACACTGGATCATGGGAGGAAGCGCCTGGCGGCGGGGCCGAGCAGGTTTCGTGACCTCCCTCAGGATGCGCGAGACGGATACAAGCCCCTTAGACGCCGATGGGACTATATGGGCCGGCGGAATGAGCGACGCGATTGAAAAACGACGCCTCGATCCTCCGTTCTCTTCGTCCCCAGACCCCCGACGTCGGAATCGTTCTCAACACGGATCCTGGAGATCTCGGCCCTTTCCAGGGAACCGCCTTGTCATCCTGAGCGAGTCACAGCAAGGGCCCCCACGGGCCGAAAACTGCCAACTTGCAACTTCTCGTTTGTTCTGTCATTTTCTACTGGTCCCCAACTTCCCCCGGCACCAGGGACAACTCGAGCAACAACTCCGTCGATGTCGCCTTCCAGCGTGGCGCACTTTCACCCAGGTTACCTAAAATCAGGGCATCTCGGAACCAGGGATTCCAAAGATGTCTTTGGCAAGACGTGCCTGAACACATCGCGGATCACATCTTGGAACCCAGAGTTGTGAGACCGTCTCAACCGAAACGGGCCACAACACCTCAAGTCAGGGCTTCTCGCAGTAGCCCGGGGTTCGGAGGATGTCTCAGGAGAAACGGGCCTGAGCACCTCGCGAATCACATCTTGGAACCCAGGGATGTCTCAGGCAAAACGGGCCAGAGCACCTCGCGAGCCGCATCTTGGAACGCAAAGGTGTGAGTTGCGAGGATGCCTCAAGCCCGGCGGGCCAGAGAACGTCAAGTCAAGGCACCTCGGAGCCCAGGGTTCCGAGGATGTCTCAAGTGGAAGGACCCGAGCAACTCGCGAACCGCATCTTCAATCCAGCTTTGCGATGACGTGTCAGGCCAAACGGTCAGAGCCAGGGATTCCGAGGATGTATCAAGCGAAACGTGCCTGAGTATATCGCTGACCACATCTTGGAACCCAGAGTGGTGAGGTGAGGACGTCTCAAGCCAAACATGTCAGAAAATCTCAACTCAGGACAACTCGAAGCCTGGGGTTCCGAGGATCTCTCTCGAACAACGTACTGAGGATGTTTCAGGTGAAACGGGACTGAGTATCTCAAGTCAGGGCATCTTGGAACCCAGGGTTCCAAGGATGTCTCAAGCGAGACGCGCCTGAGCACCTCGTGAACCGCACCTTAAACCCAGAGTTGCGAAGACGCCTCAGGCCAAACGGTCAGAGCCAGGGATTCCGAGGATGTCTCAGGAGAAACGTGCCCGATGACCTCGCGAACCACATCTTGGAACCAAGAGTTGCGAGAACGTCTCAAGCGAAACGGGCAATAGCACGTCAATTCAGGGCATCTCGACGCCTGGGGTTCTGAGGTTGCCTCAGGCAAAACGGGCCTGAGCACCTCGCGAGCCACATCTTGGAATCCAGAATCCAGAATTGTGCGAAACGAGCCAGAGCACATCAAGTCAGGGCATCTCGGAGCCCGAGGTTCCGAGGATTACTCCCTGTGGGCCTTGGGGCGCACCCAGCTCTTTTGAGGGCAACCCTCCCCGACACCTTCCCAGCACCGCCGGTTGCCGGGGTTGCCCAGAAATGTCCCGGGTGGCCAGGGCACCCGGGCTCAGGTGCATTGCCCCCCCCCCCCGCCAAGGCAAGCCCTGACTGGGGCCCAAAGCAGCTCCCAAGCCAACTGAAGTGGCCAGCGAGGACCATACGACTCCGAACCGAAACACACCTCCACCCCGTAAAACAAACAGACCGTTCGAAGCATCCCCACAATCTGGGCGCGAACGGGCCCGTGACACACCCTTTTTCGGCAGAGCACCAGCCAGCATCACCAGGCACGATCGAGCCGCGTTCAGCCCTGGCGACGAGAGCTGTCCCGAGAGCATGGAAAACAATAGTACTTGTTTGATGGCAATATGCGCATTTATCCTTCCTCCCCCTCGTCCTCAATCATCCTGATACTTCTCCTCCTCCTTCTCCTCCTCCGCTTCGCACTCCTCAACGGTTGCTCGGAAATGCGGGGCAGTCTCATGCGAAACAGGCTGGACCCACTCGTACGCGGCATCTCTTTGCCAAGAATTGCGGCAAGCCAAACTGACCAGATCACCTCGCGGGCGGCATCTTCAAGCCTGGCGTAGCGGCGATGTCTCAAGCAAAACGGACGAGGCAACCTCAGGTCACGGCATCCCCGAACCCAAAAGTTCTGAGGATGCTTCGAGCGATCTGGGCAGGACCACCTCTCGCGCAGCGTCTGGGGGCACAAAATTGCGAAGATGTTTCAACTGACACGGGCCGGACCATGCCAAACCTGGTCATCTCGGAACGCAGACTCATGACGATGTCTCATGCGAAACGGGCCGAACCACTTCAACATGGGCGCGCGGGCCCCTCGCGCGGCATTCGTTCATATACCGCAACACATGCCCCCCGGCACTGGCCCGGCGACGCAGGAACACTCCAAGACAAAGCCTACCGAACAGAAACAAACGAGACGTTCCCAAATGCCTGCCGTCGTGCTTTCGTGTCGTCGACGCGAAGCGAAGCGAAACGCGCCGGTAACCGCCAGGGGCGGGACCTGGGCCAGCGCGGGTGGGCCAGAGCCCTCAAGGATCGTGGCCGAGGTCGGCGTGGGAGGGGCTTTCCCCGAGGCGAGGGGGTACGAGTCTGCCTCGTCCTTCGGGCGGGTGGCGATGAGGGTGACCTGAATTGGGGGTCTTGCCGCCGCTCGGACCTCCCTTTCCCGTGTACGTTTTCGGTGTCGTGCGCGTTTTTTTGGGCTCGATGGTCCAGGATGGTCCTCGATGGCTCTCGCCGAGAAAAAATGCACACGTCCGAGCGATGCCAAGGGGTGAAGAGACGGGCCCTAAAGAGGCCCTATAAGGCCCTTTTTGGGTCCCTGCTGGCTCCAAAACGGTGCCCTAAAGGCCCCCTGTTCTCACACCTTTGAGGCCCTTTTCTGTAGTGGCCCCTTTGAGGCCCTTCTTTAACCCCCCTTTAGGTCCTTTGATGCCCTTTTCCTTCACCCTCTTCTTAGGTAACCCCCCATTACCATCCGACCGATCGTCCTGCCGACTCTCCTCGCCCTGTCCTGTTGGCCGTCCAGCGTCTCGGTGTCGGAGAACCCGCACAGCTCGAACTCCACGCTGCCCTCCTCGCTGCGCGGGCTGCCTGCTGGGCTGGGCGGGAGGGGGGGTCAGGAATGGGAGCAGGAGGCACTCACAAGCCGTGAATCAACACGGCCACTACAGTCGGGCTGTTGAGATAAGGGACGCCAAATACGCCAGGAATACCTTTTTGGGGCTTTTGGCTCCCTGGGATCGGCGGCGAGCCCGGGAGGGAAGTGAGCAAGAGCAGGCCTGCTCAGAAGGCTCGGAAATCCCCCCCAGCATTCTGGCCAGTCTCCCGAGCCTGCCCCGCAGGCACAGACAACTTCTCAGCAGGTCAGCGGGCCTCTGGGAAGCCCCGCCGCCTTCTGGGAAGGCCAACCCCTTCTCATTTCCCCCCCTCGTTCGCCGCCGATAGAAACAGGAAGCAATCACAAGTCGTGAATCAAAACGGCCACTACCACAGGTTCGTGTCGTGACGACCCTGACGCTGGTTTCTTACACCGCATGGATATTCCCAACAAAGATCGGCGGCACTTCGGTCGTCAGGTCGTTCCGTGATGACAGATTCTGGGCCACTTGCGGTGGTTAACCATGAACGCCAGCGGCGGGGTCGCCGCCGCGTTGACAACTTACGAACCTACCTTGACCTCCCTGAAGATCATGAGGCCGAAGGTGATGAAGAGATGCTTGCCGCGCGCCACAGCTTGCATGCACACCACCATACAGCATACAGGTAGGGGGAGATCTCATTTACACCGCCACAGCTTCGAATGGGCAGGGACACGTGGGAGAGTGGGGGAAGGAAGCACTGACGATAACACAATCGAGCGATCGTCCTATTTCAAGCGCACCCCACGAGGAGGCTCGACCAAATCATCGATACGAGTTGCTTGGAGCCACAGGATTTGGCGCAGGGTCAAATGAATTCATTCATTCCAATCGATGCCTGTTCGAAATAGCTTCCCCCAAGAGCCCAAGAACTCACATGCAATGCCGATACACAATGTTAAGACAACCGGGTAGAGCGCAACGCTTTAGGAATGCGTGTCAACCGAACAACTCGTACAACAATATCTCATGACAACCGCCCTACCCGGGCAAGGATGTCTTGATACGACTGCTGACTAGCATTTCTGCCCCTGGGCAGAACAAGAGCCGCACGAGAAGGGTACACATGTGTGGACCTCAAGCGAAAGGAGAGTTGCCAATTCAATCTTGGCCAAGTGGCCACCGAGAGGGAATGCTTGGGAGCTTAGGAGGCGTCTGGGAAGAGAAGCTGTCTGGTGAGGGGCGACAGGTGTTTCGGAGAGGCGTGAGAGCAGCATGGGCGCAGGCACAGCGAGTAACCATCTCTCTTGCCACGGAGCCGTTGGCATCTACAAATGACCCCCCTAGGCATCGATGTGCCTGTGCAACCCTGACCATGAGACCTCACTTGTCAACATCAGCTGCAGATCATACGCCGATTTCACAACGATCATCACCTACTCGGTGCACAAGGTCGGATGGCAACCTCGTCTCCTGTAACCCATCGAACAGAAACTCACCAATGCCGATGTGGGCATCGGACCACACCTCTTGGTGCGCAGACATCTTCATCAAAGGGACAGTCACTTTCTTGTATTCCATGCGTGAACACATGGACTGCTGAAGCTGCGCCAACACTTGGGATGAGACGACGAGGAGGAAGGGATACTGCTGTCCGAACATCTGAGATTCGAAGATCGACCAGCAGCAACGCTGAAGCCCAGCCTACCCTCGGGCCTATCCCGAGCGATCGTGTTTGACTTTGGGAGCCCGGGAGACCCACTTGAGATGGGTGCCTGCGTGAGCCCCTCTCGCATGATAACCGACGGCGTGCGCAGAGGACTCCGGACTCTGGACTCTGCGCGTTGGGGCCAGTGTGCAGCAAACCTCACGAGTGCTAGACCCTGCGAGGGCTCACTGAGAACGCCTCTGACCACGCACGATGGAGGAACATGTCCCAGGCCTACCGCGCTCTCGTGTCTGCACAGAGGCAGACGTGCGCTGCGGGTCCAGCGAGGGGGGGATCCCGCGCTCACCGTCTTGGGCCGGTAAGTGTGGGTGAAGGGGCTGCGAAGGAGGTACTTAGAGCCTGTTTTTCTTCGACTCTGGCAAGTTTACTTGCATGGACGGGGGGGGGGGCTGAGCCTGAAGCAAGCCCGGGGGGGGGGGCGCGGAAATCACGCAAGTCGAAAGGCACTTGCACGCTAGTATTCGCTTGAAGAGGGGCGAGGGGGGGGGGCGAACGCCATGCAAGTAAACTTGCCTGAGTCCAAAAAAAACAGGCTCTTAGGGAAGAGGTAGGGAAGATGCCTCCCATGGCATCTTGCTGGATTCTGCGGATCGACGCTAGCCGACGCCAGAGAACGCTAAACCGATTCAATATGGAGGAATGAGGAAAAGAACCGGGAATCGAGAACCGCGACCTAGGAACCAACATCGGGGAACCGGGAACAAGAAACGGGGAACCAGGAGCCAGGAACCGGGAACCAAAACAGGGAACCGAACCGAGAAACAGGGAACGGGGAGCGGGGAACCGGGAACAAAGAACCAACAATCGAGAAACGGCGAACCGGGAACGGGGAACAACGAGCCAGGAACCTGGAAACAGGAACTGGGAAAGGGGGCCTCTTGCGGCCCTTTTCGTCTGTGATGGGGCTTTCTTGGGCCGTCTGGGGGCGGCCCTGGGCTGTCTCGGCGCCCTCTTGGAAGCCTGGTTGGAAGATTTTTGGGTGTCCTGGACCGTCCTCCTTCAACGTCGGCGGCACTGGCCGTAAGACTTCCTGGGAACATGATTTGTTGGGGTGTCGTTGGGCGCCTTCGGAGGCTTCGGGGCCTGACGCGTTTCCAAGCGTGGCGGCAGGTAGCGTTGCTTGGGACTCTCGGTTTCTGTTTTCCTGGCAAGCGTTTAGGGTACATGTTTTGGGGAGAGGGCAGCAACCTGAGAATCGTATTCCCAGGAAGCTTTCCGAGAGCATGATTTGTTTGGTTCTCTTAGGAGGGGGGCCTCTGGGGGCTTACCGAGGGGCCCCTTTTGGCCTTGTCGGCAAGCCTATTGGAAACATGGTTGGGGCGGTGGGCGGAAGCCCAATGAATCATGCAAAGAATCACGTTCCCAGAAAGCTGCCTGAGAAATACGATTTACCGAGGTCTCTTTGGGGCCCGCAGGGGGCTTCCCTGGGGGCCCCTTGGGGGCCTGTTGGGGCTTCGGGGGGGGCTCTTGGGAGCCTCACGGGGCTTCTTGGGAGCCTCTTGATGGCCTCTGGGGGCGTCCTAGGAGCCTCTCAGGCCGGAGACCTTGAAATCTAGCGCTCTTCGGGCCTTCTTGCTTGGGTCGCTCTTGGGGCTCTCTTGGGGTGCTCTCGAGGCCCTCTTGAATTATCTGGGGAGCCTCCTGGGCCGTCTCTGGGCTTTCTTGGGAGCCTCTTCGGCCGTCTTGAAGCGATCTGAAGGGTTTCTGACGCCGTCCGGGACCGTGGGGAGGCGGAACATGCGAGAGCGCAAAAATGTTTCAAAAACCAGAGGGAAATACATGATGTTCGGCCTTTGGGGCTCTTTGGAGGGGCCTCTGGAGGCGCTCTTGGGGCGTTTTGGCGGCGTCGTCGGCCGTCCTGAGGCCATCTTCGGCGTGTCCGGGGCTTCTTGGGGCTGTCTTGGCAATCTTTAGGGGGCCCGTGCAGTCCCAGCAGCCCTGGGACCACCCCAATCCCGCCATGGGGAAGTACGGCACCGGCCCGGACCCCCCCCCCCGGCCTACTCCGATATATATATATATATATATATATATATATATATCAAGTCTTGAAGTAGAAAGGTGCCAAAGTACCCAAGTAGATTGGGATTTGGATCTTCCCAAACATCGAGTGCTGTATTCTACCAAAACGGACCCTCTGATCTGCAACAGAACCTTGAGACCCAACGTTGCAAAACAAAGGCAACATCACACATAATCTCCACCCGAGCCCCGGACCCCATCGTTCTGCGTCACCTTTCGAGCCGGATCCGTCTGTGAGGGCCCCGGGGCCCCGAAATCGGGCCAAAACGCCCGCTGCTGAAAAAAACATGCAACGCCAGGATCTCAGGGAGCCCTCCGCCTCCTGCTCCTCCTGCTCCTCCTCCTCCTCATCCTGAAAAACCTTCTCATCGTCTTCCTCCTCCTCCTCCTCCTCCTCCTCCCCTCCTCCTC